CGTCAACCTGCCCAGACGTCCCACAGGCTCTGGTCTGCAGAGTGTATCCACTACAGCGCGCGGAGGTCCGTATGGCCCACAGACGCAGTACAGCAACACTGCTGTTGGCTCGTCGGGACAACGTGCGTCTGCTGGAGACGATTACTCCGACGGTGCCGACGGCGACTACTCGGCCATACCTGGTGTGGCTGGCGTAGACTATCCCGTGTATGCCCAAGTGCCGCGCACCAACTTCGACTGCGCCCAGCAGCCACTGCCTGGCTACTATGCGGACATCGAAGCTCAATGCCAGGTCTTCCACATATGCGCACTCAATCGCACCTTCTCCTTCCTGTGCCCCAACGGAACAGTGTTTAGCCAGGAGACGCTAGTCTGCGTCTGGTGGAATCAATACGACTGCGTCTCGGCGCCCAGCCTGTATGCCAACAATGCCTACATCTACGACTACAGTGGTGCCAGCTCCAGTTCCAGCAATGTCAATCTGAATGCCAATGTCTACCGAAGTGGATCCCAGCCGGTGAATACGGCCTATGGTGGAGTTGCGCCATCATCCGCGCCAGGCGGTGGTCTGCGCACTACCAGTGCATCCCAGGTCCCAGGCTATAATGCACAGCGTGGCGCTTACGCCACCCCCTCACCCACGCCAGCCCAGTCGCAGTCGCAGTCTCTGTATGGTGCCGGCGCCATTATACGTCCGGCTAGTGTCTCCGGCACAACCGCTGCTACGGGTGCCAATCGCCTAGCTCCGGCAACTGCCGCTGCCGGTCTGGCAGCCACTGCTGCGGGCTTGCTGCCCGATAACGCTGTCGGCAGCTTTGCCCAGCCTGTGGTGGCAGTTGGCAATCGGGAGTATCTGCCGCCAGCCGGCGCTGGCCAACGCCAGCAACGCAACCAAGTATAAGCGTAAACGAATCTTAGCATCTGTACCCGGTAAAATGGCAATAGACCCGATCTTAGACCCTAGGCTTAGCTTAATTAGCAATAACATACACACACACACTTAGGAGCTCCTTACACAACCTATGTATTTAAAACTAAATTCTTATGTATTCCGATTTTTACTATATAAATGGCATTACTCTCAAATCATTTTGTATATATAAATTATATATATTTACATTGGTAAACCTTGAAAGGGTCAATTTTCGTAATAACAGAATTCTGCGTAGCTGTAGTTAGTGTAGAGGTTTCTATAAGAAAATGTTTATGAAGATTAAAACGGGGTTTCCCTTAAATCCTTTGTTGCTGCTCAATGCTTGGTGAGTTCACTGAGGAAATCCATTTGCAGCACCTCTTTAGACTTGATTCGTTTCGTCCTCGCATCCTTAAGTATTTTTCCATAATGTTGCTTGAAGTCCGAACGTAAATACATATGCCTGCCCCATTTCAACTTGGGCTCGCCCTGCTTTGGCAGCGGTATAGTGGGATTGAAAGCCATTTTTGTGCTGTCGTATTGAGCAAAGAGTTCATGGGCATTGCTGGAGGTGATAAATAGATTTGTAAGTTTCTAGTTTCAATATTACAGCTAAGATATAACTCACAGTTTTCCAATATCTGTGGGCAAAGCACCTTCGCCAGATGCTGGCACACCATTGGCTATATGCGAAGCCATGCGTCTCACTGTGGGATGATAATGCCGGGCGAGTAGCGTGAGTTCGTAGAGACAGGTGCTCGCTGCATTGCAGTACTCCGGATCCTCCAATTCGGGATCATAACGACCCGAGCCAATTGTGGTATCTGTATCGAGCAGAGCATCCAGTACCGAGGTCAGCTGGAATGTCTGCTTAATGGTGCCCAGAGTAGCCAAAGTTCCGTTGTGCAACAGATGCAGACTGCCCGTGAGCAGTCGCTTGACAAAGGCCATCAGACGCTGCTGGCTCATGTTGCGCCGCCGTTTAACGAGCACCTCATCCAAGGTGCGAAGGATAATGGCGAAATCTTCATGATTCTTGCCCGCATGCACGACCAGCATGTTGCGATAGAAGTGCTGGTAAAAGCGAATGGGATCTATGTTCAGGACTTCACCTTGACCGGACAGTATAACGAAGATGGTTTGGATGCAATGCAGCTGCTCGCGGTAGCCCAAGTCCTGCTCCTCAAGTATGCGATTGAGCACATCTATGAGATCGGCAAAGAATTCCAGGTTTATGACATGAGCGAATCTGTAAGATGTGATATAAGCTAGAGAATATTTTTGGTAATATTAATTTCAGTACTCACTCCGCCAGGCCCTCTAGAATTGCACTGAGCACACGCGACGTGGGATCGTTCTTGAGCACCCGGAAATATATGGTGAACACCATTTTGATAATTTCCGTCAGTTTGTGGTGTTTTGTTTGTTTATTTTCTTCGGCGCGCGTCTCCTCCAGCTCCTTGTTGACCTCGGTTAGCTTCTTGCGACGCTTCCGCTCCTTCTTTGACAAGCTGAGCAAACGCTGACGATGTGATTCCAGTTTCTTTTGCTTCAGTTCATTTTCCTTTTCTGCATCTAGATTGACATGCTTGATCTTCAGGCCCATCATGCATGTAATGCACTCGACATGCACATTGTTCTGCTTGGACTTGATCAGATGATTGATGCGGCGAACCACGAAGAGCGTCATATCCAGTTTTTTGTCGTTACTGAACAACGTGCGGAAGCATTGATTGACGGCAACGCGCATTGTTCCATAGTTACAGTTGAGCATATAGACCAGGAGTTGGGCTATGTTTTGTACGTAGTTGAAGTACGGATGGGATAACAGCAGGTCACACATGCACTGCACGGCCACCGCGGCAATTTTGATGGCTTGTGGCGTCTTTTGGCCACCCCGCTTATTGACCTGAGCCGTTAGGTGTTCCAGTTTCTGCAGGAACTTCTTGAATTGCTGCAGCAGTGCATTTTCAAAGGTAACACGTTCTAGCGTGGCTTTGCGCACCGTTTGCATCTTGGTATCTATCTGGCCCACTCGATACTCTGGGAGAATATCTTTGAATATCTCAGTAATGGAGATCATCGCCAGTTTGCGCACGGCGAAAAGATTGGGAATGCCAGTTTCTGGGTTCACATCATTCATCAGCTCGTAGAGCGCATTAAAATTGCGCATTTTATCTTCTGGCTTCTCTAGGATTCCAGAGCAGATGATACCTATGCGATATTTCTGACGCTCGATTTCCTGCTGTCGGGCAATTAACAAATCTGTGGTGGACACGAGCTTTTGCTTGGGCACGGGTGCCTCATCGTTAACTATATCATCGTCGCTGTCCTCGAATACCTCATCGCTGTCTTCCTCATTCTCATCCTCTTCAGCATCTACCTCCTGCTCCTCCTCGGCCACTGACTTCCGTTTGGGCTTTGGCACATAGTCAACCTCTGTGGTACGCGTTATAATTTCGCCGTCGCGAGATTTAATGGGCAACAAGTTAACTTTTATCTTTTGTGCCGCTTGCTCCTTCTTGCTAGCCGTTGTGTAGGCCATTTCCAAACCCACCGATTGTTGCTGTTCCTCCACAGGATCCGCCTTCGCCTTCCGCTTTCGTTTGTTTGCCTGCAGCAGTGCAAGATCATCGCCGTCCAACATGTCTGCAACGTTGTCCAGCAGTTGATCGCCGCCAACGTCATCATCATCATCATCATCTGCATTGAGTTCTCTATGCAGTCCCAGTGATTGTTGTTTATTGTGCTTCTTGCGCTGCGCTAGATTGTCACGTTTGTGGGCTTTCTGTGAGAAGATATTTTGTCCATGTTCTCGTTTTGATGTCAGTTGCTCTCGCTTCTGTTTAATTTTTTGTTGTTGCTGTTTGCTCAGCGGTGCCTTTTTTGATTTCAAATGAGCGGCACGCTTCACCGAACTGATTTTCACTTTTTTCTGCAAATTTTCAAAGTTTTTAATTTGAGTGTGTATTAGAGTGCTATCAATCATACTTACAGTGCCCATTCTATTTAGTTTTAAAGAAATAAAAGCCGCTATTTAATAAAATAAACGCGAGCACATGGTACTTGCTAATAGCGCTGAGACTTGGTCGATAGTGCCATACCGATAATAAAAACTATCGAAATTTCTTATGTATCGACCGCCGCCAGTTGCAATTACAGTTCAGTGTCAAATACATATGTTTTGGTTTGTTTACGTTTTGCTATAAGTATTATCACTGTTTGGTTAGTGGTATTATCTCGATGTCTGAAGAAGAGGATGATTACATGTCCGACAAGTTCTTGTCAGGGTAAATAATACGCCAGACTGCCAGTTATTCACACTTTTTAAGTCCTGTTGCTCTTACAGCCTGCAAGATGTGCGGCCCAGCTTGGTGAGCAATCGAGCAAAAAAGCGACTGATCCGAGTGGAATCAGAGCAAGCGGAAAACAGTAAACGGCAGCGTGAGGCAGCAAATGCTTCGACAGCGAATAATGTTCGGCTTCAAGAGTCGCTCAACAAACCCATTGCTGCGGACAACAAAGGCTTCCAGCTGCTGGCCAAAATGGGCTACAAAGCAGGCAGTGGATTGGGCAAACAGGCAGACGCACGCATTGAGCCCATTGGGATAAGCTTCAAAAATGATCGCGGAGGACTGGGGCGCGAGGCAGCGATAGCCGAGCTGGCAGCTAAGCGACAGGAACTGCGGTTACGAAAAGCAGGTATTCAATCTGCTGAGGAAATCAGCACTGAGGCATATCGACGCCGAGCCACACAAAAAGCAGAAGAACGGAAGCTCAACTACGATATACGACGTTGCCAACAAACATGCGAGTCCTTGGATTTAGCAGCAGGCGTCAGAGAACCAGAGTTGGACTTTTTCTGGCCCCCAAAGCCCATAGAACCAAGCATCGAGACAGAAGGGGATGAGCCAGTCGAAAAACAAGCAGAGTCAGAGGAAGAGAAAGAAGAGCTATACAGTGGAGCGGAGCAGTTAGAGCTCCTCACGAGCTACTTGCGCACGGCCTATACATTCTGCTATTGGTGTGGAACGCATTACGAGAGCATTGAGGATTTGGACAGAAATTGTCCGGGTGAGACACGGGATGAGCATTAGCTTAAAATCTATTTTCATTAAATGTTACTTTTACAAAATACGCACACATTTATATATATTACAATAAAACGTAGTCCAAAACAATTATGTATAGCGGTGTACTAGGATTGAACCGGAATTCGCTAAACGCGTCCTTCCAACTTCTGTATAAGATCGTGCGTTTGCTCGATAACGCTGTAGATGAACGGTCGCTCCATGGGATCGATGCGCAGCATGTACTTTATTAGCTCATGCATATCCTATGGAAATTAGGGAATATAGTTAACTGAAGTCTGGGCATAAGCTAACTGACTTACCTCTGTATAAATGGAATCTTCAGGAATGTTTACATTGCCACTGAGCACGGCCAAGGCGACGCTGTCACCACGCTCATAGATGGGATCGAATGGACTGTTAAAGTAGCACATTGCATACAGAACACAACCGAGACTCTGTGAGGAATAAAATTAAAGCATTTATTAAAGTTGGCTATACTATATATATGTTACTTACCCATATATCCGTGCGCTCGTCAATGGTGCAATATGTTTTCACAGTAAACAGTTCGGGCGCCCGATAGACAATTGAGCTGCGCTCCTCGGCCTCGTCTTGGAGCCGCTGTGCATCCGATTGGCCGCAAATTTGCAGACGCGCCTCCGTCATCGAGCCGAGGTCCACAATGATGGGCTCAAATGAGTCGGATAAACATATATTGGCAGTTTTCAGATCACGATGAGCCATCGGCACTGGCTTCGTTTCATGTATTGCACGTAGACCCTCACAGATGCCCAAAAAGATTTGCAGGATCTGCGCCTCGGGCATATGATCCTGTTTGCGAGCGCGCAGCTGCAGGTGATCCGACAGCGAGCCATGCTTGTAGTAAGGCAGTACAATGAACAACGTGCTCGTTGTGTTTATCACAATGTCCGCCTGGCCGACCAGTTCGTAATCAACGACTCGAATGACATGTTCCGAGTCAATTTTGCGACAGTTTTCGATTTCACGCAGGGCAATATTCTGATCCTCGATGCTGTGGCAAGTGACTCGCTTTATCGCATAGCAGCGCCGCGTTGCCACATTCTCCGCCAGGTCAATTAAACTAAAGCCCCTGCAGCAGATAGTGTAATAATTGAGATAAGATAGTAAAAGCTGTGTAACTATGTTAATTGTACCCTATATGGGGGGCAACTGGCAAATGGAATGGGACTATCATTTAATGGCAATTACTGCTGTATATGAGTTTTCTCAAGTGCAGCACAGTGGAGCAGCTGGTGCATGGTAAATATGTGCATGAAGGAGTATATACAATACATCAGAAACTTTTAGAAACATTTTTGTAACAGGAATTTCTTATATTTGGTGTTGAATTTACCCCTGTGCCAGGCGTTCTCGGACGGTATAGCGGGAACCATTGATGTTGAGCCTTTCTTTGCTGCAAAAGCAGCCACGTTTCACAATTAACGTCCATCCAATGCTTTGCATTTTACTTTCTCCAATTAATTATGTACAAAGCGCACAAATGTCGACCCTAACAAACTAACTAAAAACAACAACTAATTAATGTCGCGCAGCACAGCTGTTTAGCAAGAACAGGGCTGTTAACCGCAACACATGGAACATGCTGACGAGGCGTTGCCACCTGATGCAATTTCAGCATTTCAATTCAACTATATATTTTTTAACGCAATTTTAAACAATTCTTCCATTTTAATAAATGATGATTACCACGGACGAAGTTTGGAAGGACCTTATTGGTATTAGCGCCGATCCGCCTGACAGACGTCATAAGTGCGACAAGTGCAAGTAAGTGAGTGCCACCAAAGCAAGCCCAATTTAATGCAACAACGTCTTCCACAGACGACCCGTCGTTGTTTGCTGGTGCTCCTCACTGCCTCAGCCGCCCGTTGCGGTGGCATCTCAAATTGTGATTCTGCAACACCCTGCCGAGGAAAAACGCTCGCTGCGTACAGCTCTTATGCTGCAGTTAGGTCTGATGCCTGGCAAGTGCGTGGTCTACAAGGGCAAGCGATTCCCCAATGCTCGCCACCCACCTGAGCTGCAGCAGGTGCTGGATTCGCCCCAGACGCTTCTACTGTATCCCAGCAAAGATTCGGTGCCATTGGAGGAAATTGATCGCAGTGCGGGTCCCTATACCCTGGTGCTCATTGACGGCACCTGGCCCCAAGCAAAGGCCATCTATGCTAGTAGTCCGGCACTGCATCAACTGCGACAAGTCAAACTAATTGCGGTGGGTGTGAGTGACTACATTATACGTACACAGCCGACTGAGGGCTGCCTAAGCACGCTGGAGACAGCGGCGCAGTGTCTGGCGGTGTTGGAATCGAAGCCAGAGCTGCGTCAGCTGCTGGTTCGTCCACTGCATGCTTTGTGCAAATACCAGCTGGACAATGGTGCCGTCGAGCATCAGTCTAAGGAATACCTGATGAAAACTAATCAATACCCCAAGCCGATTGGCAAGAGGCTAAGTCGCTTATTGAACTATAGCAACACGGTCTGCGGCACTGCCACGCCCCTTGAACAACAGGCGGATACACAGGAGTCTAGATGAAAAATAAAGTAGTTAATGTTCTGCGCACGGCCGTGGCTGCATATTTATTAAGTACACATTATAAACTATTTGTAATTTTTAAACAGAATAATGTGATAATCAAACCATTGGCTTGTTCCGGGCATCCGTCAGAGCACGCATCATAGCGCATTGCGCAATGGCGTAGGTCCTCTTGCAAGCATTCTGTTCATTAACTGCAGTAGTTTTAAATTTACTTTAGTGAATCTCTACAGCGCAGTCGATTGCTCTACTTACTGCCCTGCGACTCGCAGTACTCGATGGAATCGCCCGTCGCTGGCCACATATACTTGCGCACTATGTTCGGCACTAGCCTGAAGTTTTCCACTAGACCGGCCTTTTCGAAGAAGCAGCGGAAATAGCACTGCAAAGTATTAAACATGATCTGATTTAGCTCTTTAATTTTGGATTGTGAGTCACATACCATGCTAGTCAAATCTGTCTCATCGGCTAGTTTGCCCGTATTATTGAACTGCAGAACATTGGCTAGAAGGAGAACATTTTGTTAAGTAATTATACTCCTACTTGTGGACTTCTGAACTCACACATGGTCGTAATGAAACTTGCATTACAGCCATGCATAATCGCATCAAAGTCAATATAGTCGGGATCTCTAGGTGCTTCGGTGGTGGTCGATATGTCGTCCACATCGCCATCGAAGCTGTCATAATTTATTATAAATATATCTCCGTTATCCTTGGCACGATCACTCAATGCACTTACTAGCCCGCCACTGAGGCTCAGAGTACTCAACAGAGCAACAGAAATGGGAAACATTTTCGCAACGGTAAATTGAGTTTACTGAGCAGCTACGCGACCAGGAACATATTTTATATGAAATATGGTGATACAATTGGATAAACATGTTTGTTCTACACGCAATATACCGTTTTAAAAACTTAATAATCTTTACGACAATGGCGAGATAATTCCACACAGCACAAATGAATGAATGAATGACCTATTAGAAACAGCTCTTGAATGAACAAATTATTTATATATTCAGTTACAATTTTTTAGGCAATTTATAAATTACAGTGGGAATGCTACTTGCTGTAGAAGGTAAATATAATAGTTTTATATTTATATATAAACGTAAGTATGAAAATATAAACGAAAAGTATTTTATTTCTATTAAAGCACGAAACTTGAAATTCGTAATATCAACTTTTATAGACAATCTCGCACTAAAAAACTAGTGTAGAACTATAAATAGAAATGAAAATGAATCTTCTATTACAAGGCATTGTTCAAGACCGTGGATAATCGGGAATGACTCTAAAGTAGCTTGCATAAGTTCAGTCAGAAAAAAACTTTCTATTGTAGAGTGTAAGAGCCCTACAAATTTTACATTTATGTTGCTTAAGCATCTCGCATGAGGTACAATAATAAGTACATACAAAATCATATTCTTCTTAGCCGTGACCGAGTATTTTATAAATATATGGATTCCAATGTTCATTGAAATCTTCTCATACTACTTCTCGTAAACTTACCATATGGCAGCAGGAACTCCTCAGCACAGGCTGTTCTAGCCTCCAAAAAAGCCGCATGAAACTGACTTTGCACCTCCGGAGTATCTGCATCGATCTCTAGATCGTCAGCGCGCAACTCACTTAAGCACAAGCCGCACAGAAAAAGAACTTTAAGCAAATGGAGCCGCGACATCTTTGCTGCTGAGCAGGGCAAAACCGTTTGAAAGCATTGAGATTGGTTTGGCCTTTATAGAAAAGGCCGACAATAAATCGATTAAATTTATAAAACTTTTTTAAACTAAATAGTTGCAGTTTAATCGAACAATAAATACATGCGAGAGCAATATTCTCATTCATATAATACAAAATTAATAATATTTAAATGAATGTTAAACGAAATCTAAATAGTTCAATGGGCGCTTTGATTGGTTGTGCTCAATTTTTCTCTTCTGTCGAAAAACGTTCACGAAAATTGGGTAAATAGCGTTAAATTAACTTAATGAGTGTCGGGAACTGTAGTATAGATCGCGCAACGAGGTCGGTGCTTAGAGTGAGGATCATAATGTATAGAAATAGCTGAGTTAGTATAGCCAAAGGTTACAAATTTACAAGTATATAATTGTACAATGATGTATAGAGTTGTTTAGTGAGTTAGCCTTATAAATAATTTCGCTCAACTTTGCAGTAATTCTTCATGGAATTGGTTTTGTTTTGTTTATTCTTTTAAATTACTCTATGCAGCGTCCACGTTGCATCCACACGTCAGACCTTGGCTCCCCAGGCCCGTTTCAGCAGATAGGCGCCCTTTTCGGCAATCATTACCGCCGGCGCGTGCGTGTTGCCGGACGTCACCTTGGGCATGATGCTGGTGTCCATCACGCGCAGTCCCCGTATGCCATGCACCCTTAGCTCATGATTGACGACGGCCAGCGGATCCTGAGCTGGACCCATCTTGCAGCTGCCAGCCTGATGGTTCTCGGGTCCGGTGTTCTGGCGCACCGCGCACTCCCAGTAGGCGTCGCTGCCGAAAGTTTGCGACTCGCAGCCCTTGACAACGGTCTTGTCCAGCCGCATGCCATACTGCTTGAGGGGCGAGCTCTGCGATAGCCTTATAGCAAACTTGATGCCCTCCACCAGGGTCTTTACGTCATGTTCATCGGTCAGGTAGTTGGCGAAAATGCGAGGCGGATCCAGTGGATCGGAGGAGCGCAGCTGAATAGAGCCACGGGATCGGGGATTCAGCACTGCCGGAAATATTTGTATGGAGCGCGAGTTGTTGGAGAGCAGCTCACCCACTTGGCCCGTGCGTGCGCAGCTGGCCAAATAGCCGCCGAAGTAGAGCTGTATATCCGGCACTCCTGGCCGCTGGGCCCAGCGTGAGGACACCTTGGCGGTGACATCGGAAATGCCCGTGCCCGACATGAGGCCATCGCGGAATAGCAAATACTCCATGGCGGTGGCCCAGTTGAGTGGCGCAGTGTCCGCATCATCGATAAGGAAGTTGGTGAAGAAGGCCACATGGTTCTGCAGATTTTTGCCCACGCCAGGCAAATTGTGCACGGGTCGCACATTCACCTGCTTCAGCTCGTCCTTGGGGCCCACGCCGCTGAGCAGGAGGATCTGTGGCGAGTTGACGGCACCAGCGCTGAGCACCACCTCCTTCTTCGCCATTATCTTGCGCGTGCTGCCAAACTGATCGGTGACCTCCACGCCCAGCACGTTCTTCGTGTGCGGATGAATCAGTACCTTGGTAACTGTGGTGTTCAGCAGGATGTGCAAATTGTTGCGCATGCGAGCGGGTCGCAGGAAGGCCCTTGCCGAGCTATAGCGAATGCCATTGCGCGCAGTCATTTGGGCGATCATGAAGCCCGTGGCATTCTGCCCGTTCAGATCCTGCACCGTGTAGCCCATTTCCTCGCCGGCCTTGAGAATGGCATAGGAGAGAGGCGGATTGTAGGGGAATTTACCGACTGGCATTAGGCCCCCTTTAGCATGGTATTCAGTGCCAACAGCTTCCAGCTCGAGATTGTCTTCGGACTTCTTGAAGAATGGCAACACATCGTTGTAGGCCCAGCCAGGATTGCCTTGAGCCGCCCAATCGTCGTAGTCCTCACGGTTGCCGCGTATATACATCATGCCATTCATCACCGATGTGCCGCCCAAGACCTTGCCGCGTGGCCAATAGCAGCGCTGCTCCATGGAGGACAGGCACGCCATCGGCTCCGGCTCTGTGTTGTAGCGGTAGTCAATGTCGCTGCCAATGAAGTTCAGGAACATGGAGGGTATCTGAGCGCCCACCGGCTCATCGCCACCTGCAAAGTTGCAGACAGAGAACTATATTAGTTGAAGCATTAAATGTATATACCATAACTAGCAAAATTAGACATATATCATATGAAAAGCGATAGCTAACATCTATAAACAATAAATTTGTAGCGTAAGCCTAATATGATTGTTACAAAAATCCAAGGAAAGTGAGGCAAAAAACTAAAAAAATAAATAATTTAATATGATTTACTGGTGAGCTGACGTAGGTCATTATGAGCATGGTTCAATAAGAGAACCGAATGCGTCATTTTTTTTTAAATAATGTTTTATAAAATAAAAATAATGTTGATATATATTTTCAGTACTTGTTCATTTTCGCTTTTATTTTATTAATATTATTAAATTTGATTCGATATGTGCATTAGGACATTGCTCAAGGCCAGGTTTGACTGCACAGTTTCGTTTGCAAACTTATTTTATTCTATGTATGTAGAAAATTGTTATTCTTGGTGGCCTTTTGTTGAACTAATTAGTTTGTCTTAACTTTTGATTGATTGAGAGGAGTAGTTACTGCTAAATTGGCTAGCGTATTATTTATGGCTTTACCTGTTTTAGCCGTGGCAATACAGATTTATTTCTGCTAATTTTTGTGACTAACACAGTAATGAAAACAATTTGGCTGATTGAAATACGATTCAGAGAAACTCGAAGTGTCATTTGTACATTTGCTGATATTATCTAAAGGCGATTCTTAATTTAATTTTTGTATTCTTCTTTCAGTTTTGAATCAGCATTCCAGAATTTCCGTTTTGCACGATTTTTGTTTGTTTTTTGTTTTGGCAATTTTATGCTCATCAATTAATTAACTCAATGCAAATAAAAGGGTATCTGATTGCTATTTGAACCGTGGGAGCTTGAAAACTCACCGCAAGCTGCCTAAATAATAATTTAGCGTGTCATTTTGTCAGCTGCGATAAAAACAAAAGAAATTAATTCCAATTGTAACAAATTGCGAGGAATTTTAACTAATAACTAGTTCCACAAAATAAATACGTTTATTATGTTTATATGCTGCATGCGAAATAAAACAAGATTCTTTCAAAATTGAATTTGCAGGCAGTTTTTATTATTTATGTACGCAAAAAAAAGAAAGAAAGAGAAAAAGTAATTAGCACACGGGACTTGATTGTATTTATGTATTGTATTTATTTTGGCTTGTATTTATTCGACTGTAAACACTTTGAAATGACATAAATAATATAAATAAACACGCATATCAATTAAGTATGCAAACAAAGTCTGGACTTTTTTACGAATCTCAATTGCGAAGCAAAAGTTATTAATGTTAATATAAATAATTAGATAGAAGATACAAACCTCTGAACAGCATTCAGAACAGAGTCAAACACCTTTTAGATGTATTTATATAAAGCGCAGTAACTGAAGACCTTAAACAACATATTTATATATGTATATATCGCAGCACCGTAAAATAAAAACAAAAGGCTTTAGAATACAGTCTTGTATGGAATACGCAGAGATCTGTATTTGAATCATATTAGTTTTAATAATCTCAAGATACAACAATGATAAAGTTTGGCATTTAAGCTTACGCATAAACGAAAGACTTAGGACACAAACTTACGAAACGAGCTCTGCCGATTCTGACAGAACTTCTCACATTTATTTTGCATTTAAATAAAATATTAATTATATATATAAAGAAATAAAACGAGCTTTGACCTCAACAAAAATACATCCGCTGATGATGCACAACTCATGCAGATGGACGACATTGAAAATAAATAACGATGCGAGACGAAAGACGTCTATCGTCTATTGTCAGAATTGGAGATTGAAAAGTGTCAACCCCGTGATTAAGCATATTATTGAGTGTGCAGCCAAATGGAACATACGCACTTAGCCACAATCACGAGCACTTAATAAGCACTCACGGTAATATAATATGGACAAGCAGCTAATTGTTGTAAATGCACTTAAGCCATTGTTAGATCATTAGCACCAACGCATTGACAATTACAGCTCACTATCTATATAATATCTTGTTGTGTTTTTACTTTGATTTTGGTTTCAGTTCGGCAATTATTATAATTAGTGACAAGGCATAATAATTGTTGCACAATAGTAACTAATTAAAGGGGTTACAAGCGACGCTAACCCCAAAAGCA